TGTCAAGTCAGATTAGTTCTGCTTCGTCTTGATGTTTCAGGAGAACTGAGTTCGGAACGGAGAACCGGAGAACGGAGTTCTCCTGAAACATCAAGACGAAGCAGAACTAATCTGACTTGACAATGGCAAGTGTGACCTTGCCGAAACGTCGTCAAAACAATGGTTTTTCTAAAAACCAAAATTACTTAACGCGGAGTCAAACCCGGAAAACAACTGAAATCATATATATAAATATATATATATATATATATATATATATATATATATAATATATATATATATATATAATTTATTGTTTTGGAGTATCAGGTATGTGGTCTGTTATTAAAAAAAAAAACTCTTTTTTCTTTTATGACTCTATATTTCGCTGATTTTTGTCAGCTTCTTCAGGAGATAACTAAAATATGGTTAGAAAACAAAAAAAAAGATCGTTTTAAGAAATGTGTCACATTAATAAAGAAAAATATGCAGTTAATTATAAGGCAGATACGGGACAGTTGAGCAATATCTACTGTAATATTCTTAGTATGTTCAAATAATTTTTCTTTTTACAATTATATTTTAAATCACCCTGTATATTTTTAATGTGTAATTTTATTGTGTTTTTATTGTTTCTTGGTTGTTTTTGTTTTGTATTTATTATATTTTTTTTGTTATATTTAATTACTAGTGACTAGATGCTTTTGACTAATACTGTCAGTACTGTTTTGAATATATTATGTTCAAGATTTTTAAATATTTTAACTCTTAATCTGTAAGTAAATTCATTGTTTATTATCACCTGTTATGTTTATAAAATTAACCATATTTTAGTTATCTCCTGAAGAAGCTGACAAAAATCAGCGCAGTATAGAGTCATAAAAGAAAAAAGAGTTTTTTTTTAATAACAGACCGCATACCTGATACTCCAAAACAATAAATTGTTATTTACGTTTCGGTCGATAATCCTACCAGTTTTGCTATTATATATATATATATATATATATATATATATATATATATATATATATATATATATATATATATATATATATGTATATATATATATATAAATCCATTAAATATAACAATCCATTATACGAAATTGTTTGACACTTAAAATAATTCCAAACTTCCTGTGCTCAGGAGGCTATGAAAATTGTAATAAAATTTTTCTTTAGATGGTAGATGTTTTTCTTCCAATTTCTTAAAGCTATCAATATATGAGTATGGGAATATACCTTTACGTCGCATTAATTTAAAGGCTGTGTCGTCTGGAAAAAAATTTCTGATTTCATTGCATTGAGTAATGTTTCACTTATTGTCATTCATCCTTTATTGTGTAGTCTGAAAGGGATCTGTGGATCAACGTTGGACAATTTATGGGATTCTATGAAATCATAATGCTTGGCTTTAATGGGGGGATTGTGGATCATGAATGTTATATTACTAGTTTTTTGAGTATCACACAGGTCCTGCGGGGATTATTCTGGGGGTTGATAGTAGGTTTGAATCAAATTTCTGAATATTATGTGGATTTTGGGGTATAATGTGATGCAGTTGGACTCTATGAAAACACATTATGTTGGATTTTGGATCACGAATGATATATCCGACCGTTCTGGAATATGTTTACCATCGACAGTGTATGTATGTATACATGTATGTATGTATGTATGTGTCTATTTATGTGTGTATGTGTGTGTTTGATTTTAAAAAATATATGATGTCAAAACCTATACTAGTTTTCTTAGAATCATACACTTTAGATATGAAAAGAATTGTGTTATTGATGAAAAGTAAGCTTTTGTGTATACTAATAATAATATTTAGTTGTGATTAAATCTTTATTGTACAAGTACATATTTGCTTTAAAAATGTCGAAACTAATAACTTTTGTATAAATTATTATTTAGAATTTTTTTTACCTGGTATCAAACACACAAAATCGTTATGATTTGACTTGTTTTCGAGAGAAACAAGTCCATAAACCATTCAATATGTATTGTAAAAACATATTTGCTTTAAAATTTCCAGACCAATAATTTTTTAATAAATTATTAGTAAGAATTTTACCTGGTATTAAACAGGAACAAAGTCGTTTGTCACTTGTTTACGAAGGAAACAAGTCCATAAACATAATACAAAACAAAGGACAAGAATGAAAAAAAAAACGCAGTGGCGTTCTAAAATTTATTTATTTAAATCATCAAGCTGAAATAAAAGAAAATACATTAGTATCAATTTGGAATTATAAATAAATAAACTTACTAATTTTTAATGCCCATATTATACCTACCTGCTCTTCTTCTATTAGGAAGAGCCGATACCCCAAACGTCTACCAATATATCTGGCCGTTATGGGAGCCGCTTCTTCTTGCCCGAAGAGGACTCAAAATGGGTGGCTTTTTAGATGTGCAGGTAATATTCGTTGTAAAAAGCTTCTGATTGCTGCTAAAATGAGTAAAATAAAAAATTATTGTACACCTCTGAAGTTGTTGTTTATTATGTAGTGTCATAGTTACCTTCCATTTCTGAAACAAAAAAAAATGTGTTAAGAGAAGTAGAAGAGTATATATATATATATATATATAATATATATATATATATATATACATATAATATATAATATATATATAATAATGATATATATATATAATATATATATATATATATTATATATATATATATATATATTATATATATATATATATATATATATATATAACCAAAAGGATGATAACGGGTACGAGTACTATATAGTGAAAAGGAGATAATACTGGGAAGCACCCTAGTTTTATTTTGCTTCCTCAGTTATAAAAGGGTACTTCCCAGTATTATGTCCTTTTCACTATATATTATATATATATTATATATATATAATATATTATATAATATATATATATCGGAAAGGAGTACGACCGTCAATCCAATATATATATATATATATATATATATATAAGGATCACTCAGACGAGTGGTGGGTTCTTATATGGGTCTCTTGGTCTCAAGGTGGAGAAATAAAAGACAAAGTTAATAGGCTACTTTATCTATTTTGAAGACGTTTTGCTTTCGTGTTCTGAAAGCATCATCAGGTTATCTAAAAAGTACAATATGAGAACCACACAATCATGGAAACGATGTTATAATTGTTACCTTAAAAAGACATGTAGCAGTCAAAGTTATTTACAATTATGTGAATAAAACTCGAGTAAATGGACATTATACGGTGATATTGTATAAACAATCAAGTAACTAACAACATATAGCAACTTATAAAAAATTAGCACCGCAACTGACCATGTTTCAGTGACCATGACCATTTCATTTACTTTAGACCACATTTCTCTTTTATTTCTCCACCTTGAGACCGATATAAGAACCCACCACTCGTCTGAGTGATCCTTATATATATATATATATATATATATATATATATATATATATATATATATATATATATATATATATATATATATATATAAGTAGATACTCTATACCATTCCTGGTGCAATTTTTGGTGGGAGAAACCGGTTAAACCGTATGTATGTATGTATGTGTGTATTTATGTGTGTATATGTGTGTGTTTGATTTTAAAAAATATATGTATGTCGATACCTATATACTAGTTTTCTTAGAATCATACACTTTAGATATGAAAAGAATTGTGTTATTGATGAAAAGTAAGCTTTTGTGTATACTAATAATAATATTTAGTTGTGATTAAATATTTATTGTACAAGTACATATTTGCTTTAAAAATGTCCAAACTAATAACTTTTGTATAAATTATTATTTAGAATTTTTTACCACTTTTTAGAATTTCACCAACCTTTAACCCTTAACCTTTCACTCCCAATCGTTGACCCTTAATCTTTGACTTTTGACCTTTAACACTTATTCTTTTACCATCGATCTTTAAACCTTAACCTCTTTGACTCTTAATCTTTGACCCTTGACCTTTAACACTTGATTTTTGAGCCTGGACCTTTAACCCTTAATCTTTATTACTTAATTTTTGACCTTTAACCTTTAATACTTATCTTTTACCTTAATATTTAACCTTTAACCTCTAACCTTTAAATCTAACATTATTTCGGTTTGTAACCAGTTTGGTGGGAGAAACCAATTATATCAGTTTTTCCAGTTTACAATTATTCAGGTTATACTATTATTTGTATACGTATTATGTACCACCTAGCCTACACCTTAATTATTATGAGTAATACGTAAAACTTATAAACTAATATATACACTATTATTTTATTAAAATGATAAGTACACGTTACAGGAAAATCATTAAAATCGATAGTACATATTGTTCCTTGGAATAATTTTATAATCTGAAAATAATCTATACAAATTGTACCTTAAATAAATTACAATTACTTACACGTTACAAGAAATTTATTAAAATCGGTGATAAATTTTGTTTCTTGAATCTTCTCCACCCTATATAAACTGAGATTGATTTATGCATACCTCAAATGCTATATGTATTCTATATTAAGAACCGTCTCTGATTGAAACAAATATGGTAATATAATTATCACAACTATTCACGCTTCAGCATTTTTAACAACCGAGTTTCTTGTAAACATATATGATTTATTCAATCAATATGATTTTAATAATGTTTTGAAACTATTTTCTTGCGACATCTTAATATAGTTAACTATTGTAAATGAAATTCTGACTTATTTTCCATTTAGACAGTTAACTACAATATGATTTTAATAATGTTTTGAAATTTTTTTCTTGTGGCATCTTAATATAGTTAACTATTTTAAATGAAATAGTGACTTATTTTCCATTTAAAATAGTTAACTACAATATGATTTTAACTATTGAAACCAATTTACATTATTCCTACTTAATTAATAAATAAAATAAAGACGTAGAAAGATAAATTTATTTTTGAAACTAATACAAATTATTAATAATCTTATGCTAATATATACAAAATAACTATTTCTTAAAAGTACTAAAAATTGTGTCCATATCCTTTTTGATGTTTTTTATCATAACTTCACTTTTTTTTTCTTTTCCATCAACGCACTTAAATCACTAGTTAGATTTTTAATGTCACTTTCAATAGCAGTTTCACTTTTTGAAAACTCTTTGTGTTCTTTTTCGAATTGGTTTAACTTGTCTCTCAATAAACAAAAAGACTGAAATTGCCCGTAAATTACGGCGTACTTTTTTTCTAATGTGTTATAAAACGTTTGAACTTTTTTTGGTCCAGTCCTCCTCGTTAGTTGAAAAAAAAAACAAGAAGAAGAAGAGGTTGAAGCTGCTGGAGGCTGCAACACATCCATTGTTTTTAAAATGTCATTTAACATATCGTCATCTAATGTCAGATCAATCTAAGACAAAAAAGTATATTAGAATAATAATTTATTTAAAAAACAGAATGTTTCTAACAATTTAAACTTTTGAATAGATTTTACAACAACATAATTTTACAAATTTACAATTTTACTAACGAAATAATTAATTAGAAAATAGCACCGAAAGATAGAATGTTTAAAACAATTTAATATAGAGCCCAAATAATAACATATAGATTTTAAGTAAGATAAAAAGTAACTTAAAAAAAAATAAAACCACAATATAGAAAACAGAATGTTTAAACAATTTAGGTTTCTAAACATATTTTAAGCGAGTTAAAAAAATAATATGAAAACAATAAATACAAAATAAAAAACACTTCTTTTTTTTGGTCTTGATTTTCCACCGGTTTTATTTCTGGCATCACTTTATCTAACTTAGGTTTTTTTAAAACGATGTTTTGTTGTATTTTTATATTTTTAGGCATTTTGTAGTTGTTTTGTTGTTTTGTAGGTTTGTGGTATTCAATTATTTGAAGACTGATACTGTAAATGCACATCTCTTTCAATAAATATACAACCAACCAAAGAGAAAAAATTGAAAACAAGATCTGCATATTTTTAAAAATAAAATGTAATATGCACTCAACCTATTTTGCCTGAACTGATTGGCGTAATTTGAAATTCGTCTTAAAGTATTTTTAACTTAAATGTCAACTTCAGGATCACTATCTTCAAGTGCTGGTTCAGGAATATTGTCTTGAACATCGTCGGAAGATGGTAAATTATAATAATATGATTGAAATGCATGTGGAATCACACCCGATTTGTACAACTTCAATAAATCTTGTTTTTTTTTGGAACTTATAGGTCGCATCTTCGTATAAGCGTCTTTTAGCGTTATTTCTTTCAAATTGGGTATTTTTCGACTTCTCCCAAAAACGTTTATCCCTTTGTATTCTGAAACGACAGAGGGGATCGCCTAATACAATTTTGCCAGGAGCACAATGTTATAGCCGCAAATACATTCTTTAAATTACCTAAGCGACGCCTTTATACATGGAAATCGCCAGCTGACAAAGACAACAAAATCGTCAGAAATCAAATTGATTACTTCCTAATAAAACACAGATATCGAAACTCAATTCAGGCAGTAAAGGCATATCCAGGAGCGGATGTATCTTCTTATTGCTAGATTTCAACTTCAACTAAAAAAGACACAAAAAAGCCGCAATAACAATAAACTTAACATACAGAAACTAAAGTCAGAAGAAACAAAAGAAAATCTGAAACACGAAATCAACACAAACCTAGACAGAAACCCACGAAATAACTGCAACGTAGAGCAGCAGTGGCAATTCTTCAAAACCTCTATATTGGAGCCAAGTAAGAAACTACTTACAAAAACTAAATATAAGAAAGAAGAATGGATGACAGAGGAAATTCTAGAGTTGATGAATGAAAGGAGAAAAAACAAAACCATCAATAAGACGCGCTATAAACAGCTTCAAAACCAAATAAGAAGAAAAATTAGGGAGGCTAAAGAGACCTACTTCTCTGAAAAATGTAAAGAAATAGAAGAACTTCAAAACAGATATGACAACTTCAACCTACATAAAAAAGTCAAGGAACTAGCCGGAGTAGGAAATAGAAGAACCTCAAATATATTGCTCGACAAAAATGGAAATATTATATTGGAAACAGAACAAAAACTACGACGATGGAAAGAGTACATCGAAGAATTATTTCATGACCAGAGAGAAGCTAGTACATCTGTAGATAGCCAAACGGGAGATGTAGATCCAGAGATAACCAAATCAGATGTTAGTCAGGCATTAAACTCAATGAAAACCAATAAATCTGCTGGTCCAGATGAATTACCAAGCGAGCTACTAAAGTTGGTCAACGAGAAAAACCTGGACATAATAGTAGAACTGTTCAACGCTATCTATACTACGGGAATCATTCCTAGAGAAATGTTGACATCAGAATTTGTGTGTTTGCCAAAGAAAGTGAATGCCAAAGAGTGTAGTGACTATCGAACCATAAGCTTAATGTCACATACCTTGAAAATTCTCTTGAAAATTATCCACGCCAGAATACACTCTAAACTGGAGCTGGATATTAGTGACACTCAATATGGGTTCCGCAATGGTATGGGTACCAGAGAGGCATTATTCTCCTTTAATGTGCTAACACAGAGATGTTTGGATGTTAACCGTCCTCTTTACGTCTGTTTTATAGACTACAATAAAGCGTTTGATAAAGTAAAACATGATCGACTCCTGGAAATTCTAAAAAATAAAAACCTAAATGAAAGAGATTTAAGGCTAATAACACACCTCTATTACAATCAGCGAGCAATAGTAAGAATCGAAAAAGAAACATCTGAAGAAATGGAAATAAAGAGAGGAGTCAGGCAAGGCTACATTCTATCACCTCTATTATTTAACGCCTATTCTGAAGAGGTAATTCGAGAAACTCTGGAAGATGAAACAGTCGGCATAAGAGTAAATGGAGTCTTAATTAACAACATCAGATATGCAGATGATACAGTAATAATAGCCGATAGTTTACAAGACCTGGAAAGACTCATGAGCAAAATAGTCATGTGTAGTAGGGAGTACGGACTCTCTCTTAATGTCAAAAAGACGAAGTTTATGAAAATTTATAAAAACAACTATAATACTAACGAAATCTTGATAGTAGAGGGCCAGCAGATCGAAAGAGTAAAAAAGTACACTTACCTAGGAACACTTATAACAGAAAATAATGACTACACGGCAGAAATCAAAGTCAGAATCGAAAAAGCACGTTCTAATTTTATAAAAATGAAAAAGGTCCTATGTGGCAAAGATCTAACATTAGCTCTTAAAGTACGCCTAACAAAATGTTACGTATACAGTGTACTATATTATGGAGTGGAATCATGGACGTTAAATCTAGATACCATGAGACGACTTAACGCCTTTGAAATGTGGACCTATAGAAGAATTATGAGGGTTTCCTGGGTAGATAGAGTTACAAACAATGAAATACTGAGAAGAATAGGCAAAGAGAAGGAAATTGAACTTACAATTAAAGAAAGAAAGCTACAGCATCTCGGACATGTGATGCGGGGCGATAAGTATGGCATCCTGCGACTCATAATGCAAGGAAAAATAGATGGCAGAAGAAGCATCGGAAGAAGACGAATTTCATGGCTGAAGAACCTGAGAGAATGGTTTGGATGCAGCTCAAAACAACTATTTAGAGCTACTGCCTTAAAAATTAAGATAGCTATGATGATTGCCAACCTCCGTAGCGGAGATGGCACCTGAAGAAGAAGAAGATTCTGAGGTATGATCATACCTATACTCAAGGATTCCTGGTTTAGCCTTTTGGTATCGAAAACACTTAACTTTTAACCAGTTTACCTTTTCGTTTTTCATGTCTCTCGTTTTATTTTTAATAAGCTTAGAAAGGCATTCTAAGTCAAGAAAATCTTTATATTTGATTTCCTGTACAACAAACGGTTTCTTTTTTGATAATGTTGTTCTGGCCATGCGAAATATTGTTAGCCAATCATGCATTGTATACACAGGAACATATTTTTGGGCTCGTTCAATGGCACTGTGCATACTGTCCACTTCCATGTAACTGTGTCCACTTTCCAGAAACTTTTGCTCTATAATCATCAAGTTGGGATTTTTTTGAACCAAATAGAGTAACAAAGCGCTAACATTTTGGTTCCTGTTCTGTCCACTGCAAGTATCGGAAAACACTAATATTGCATTTACACTAGTGGGAAGCTGATTAATATAAGTAAAGAGGCAGGTACCAATTTCTAAGCTACCCCTTTTTCCATTAAGCTCTGTCCCAACTATAACAAAACGCATTATTTGGCGGTGCTAGCTCATACACGGTCAAATTATAAGTGCAAATTTTTCGACTGTAGTACATTGGACTCACGTCGCTACTCGGTATTTAAAGCACACATTGCAAGTCAAATGTAGCACATACAAAATTAGCCTCTTTCATAGCTCTAGCTTTGTCTCTTGCTTTTGCTGTGTAGCAATCCTCTTTTCGAGCTACGTGTTCTTCATATTGTTTAATTATTTTTTCTTTTCTTTATCATTAGTTTTGTATTGTGTGCAGAGCTGGCATTGATCTTTCTTGGGGGTAAAGAAAGAATAGTTGCAATTATTACAAAAAATGCGTCTGTAAGTGATTGAAGATACAACTGAAGTACCATCATGTTCACATAATTTTTATACATTGAGTACATTTTATTTATACTCAATTTACAATCTAGATATTTTCGTTTCGTAGAACTTCTTGTATAGTGGGATTCCATTACAGGAAAACTTTCAATATGTTGCTTTACCCTTTAGATATCATCAATGTTTGTTTTGTTTTTCGGCGGTCCTTTACCTCTGTTATCGAATCCTGTAAATATTTTACCTTCACCCTTATTCAAAAACGCATGCTCAACTACTTCTTTGCTAATGCAAAGAGTTTTTGTAAAAAAAGCTTTACAGACTCTTAATTTTGTATCATCTAAATTGAAATAAAATTCTTTTGAATCAATACGCGGCCTTTTTTTACCAGATGGGTTACTTTTTATTCTTATTGGCCTATGACTATCTACATTACTCAGGATGAAGTCCTTTCGGCGGTTAAAATCTAAGGCCCAGAAGTTTTGGCATAACACCACTCTTCTTTCTTCTGAAATGTTAGCACTACAATTGAATCTACATTTTGTACAGTCCATAAACTTTGGTGCTTCACTCTCAAATCGTCTTTTTTTAGCGACATTCTTTTTCCGGTTTTCAGGCCGGGACTTCTTCCAGCGGTTTGTTACTTTGTCACCAGTCATTGCCAAAATATTTTCGTTATCGGAAGAACCTAAAATAAAAAAATCGCGTTTTGTTTCTGCCCTAATTTAATTTTTAAAGAAGGCGTTTAACCCTTTAACGCTTACACTGTTTTCTAATAGCGGAATGTTTAGTGGCTAAATAAGTAGCCACCCATGTTAAGGTTGAAGTCGACTATGATAATTGTCCGAGAATGAACTCTATTAGCAATGACAGTATGCTTAAACGTTTTCAGTCCACATTTTTAGCCACATTACTCCACGTGCATACATCGTCATTTGTAAATGTTGTTGAAGAAAATGTTGTTTGTATTAGAAAATAATATGAGCATTCAGAGCATTTTTATTGGCTAAAAATGTAGACACTAAGCATTAAAGGGTTAAAAAGTTCACTATTATTAATATTAAATTGAATACATACTAGTATCAGGTTCACGTTCTGCAGCAGGTGACTCTGAAACATAATCTTTGTCCTTGAGCGAACAGTCTGAATCCTCAACAAACTCTAGCATCTCAGCGAGAGCTTGCTCCTGATCCGAATTTAATTCAGACGACAAGTCGGGTGTAATAATATTATCAAAAAATGTAGGCGAATGCTCTTTCGACGGGCCTGGTTTACTCTCTTCAAACAGGGCGCCGTTACCGGTATTCGTAACATTTTCTATTGTATTAAGAAATTCACTGCTTTCGACAGTTAAACTTCCCGCTATAATAAAAAATAATAATTTAGGATACTAAAAACATGCTGATCGCATCAAATAGTAAATTGTATCGGCTGTACACGTGTGCAAAATTGCAAAATTTTAGCCAGATACGATAAATAGTTAAAAAACGACTTCTTACATTAAATTTTATTACACACATACGTACATACATACCAACATTTAAGTGAAGCTAATAAAAAAGGAGATTTACGATCGTCTTTGCTTATAAAAATAAATATACTAACCTTGTTGTTGATTCAGTGCCATCTTAAGCATCAGTGCACTGCGCAAGGACATGGTTCTCACTAACTTCTAACTTACAATACCGTTATGACCACTTTAAATGTTATTTTTTAACTTAAAAAGCACTTTCTTCAAGTATAACACAATTCTTTTCAGGCGCCGATATGCATACAAAGTACACTAATATTTCAGGTTATATTTACAATGTTTACAGAATCCTTTGCGATAAAATAACATTGCGGCAAAAACAAGATAAGTGTCGTTTTAATTTGGTTTGGCGGTGCAAGTTTTTTCAGGTAAAAAAAGTTAAATGACATTTATCTGGTTTTGCACACCTGGGCATGCTAAAGTAACGATAAAATAAACTGTAAAAACAAGATAATTGCTTTTATCTGTTTTATACGAATATTCATTCTATAAATCTACTTCTATACTTCAACAGCAAAAATAAGTTAAATGACATCTAACCGGTTTTTCTAGAAGAATTAATTTTCTTTTTGCATATGAAATGTGTACTTATCGATAAATGTGCACTTAACTTGTTTCAGTTGTACAGTTTTGACAAAAATGAATAATTGCCAAAGCAAGCCTACATAATTCACCTCTTTTCCATTGTCCGACACTCATCTGTTTACGCAATACATTTATATACGGATTATGATTACGAAAATGCACTTAACTAAAAAATGGTAAAAAATGCACTTATCTGGTTTTGGCAGTAAACAGACGATATTGTCTTACATAAACTTAAACTTATTAGTGCTAGGTCAATGACTATCAGAAATACATAGAAATAATAGTTTTTAAAATGTACAAGGTAATCAAAATTAAATTTATATATAAGTTAATCAAATTAATATCTTATAGAGTAATGTATAATTATGAAATTTTTTTAGAACTTTATTGATACAAATAATAGTTTTTAACATATACTAGACAATTAAAATTGAAAGTACCTCTAAGTTATTCAAATTATTATCTTACAGAGTAATCCAAATAAAAGAAGTATATATAAAACATTTAGGAATGTAACACAATACTTAGGCAAATATACAAGGCAATTCAATTAATGTTTTTTAGAAATTCTTCTTCTTCTTTTATGTATATATGACTATCTGTTTTCAGTGTGCCTCCCGTGGGCCGTATTCGTAGTCTTACTATTTCCTATTGGGAAACCGTCTCTCGCCGTCTTTACTACTTTATTTGTTGTCATTTGGCTTACATGATTATTCCATTCTACTATTCCATTTCTTACCCACTCTTTACTATTGTTCTCCTTGCATTTCCGTCGTATATCTGTACTTCTAGCTCTGTCCCATAGTGTTTCGACTTTAATTTTTCTAAATGTTTTGTCTCTGCTGTTTCTAACATTCTTTTTGTCCTTTCGGTGTCAGGTCATGTTTCTGCCACATATGTCATTATTGGTCTGATGATTGTTTTGTAAATCCTGCTTTTCATATCTTTTCCTATATTTTTATTTCTCCATATTTTTTCGTTAACTTATAAGAATGTCTATTTTTATAAGTTATTAAAAATATTATCTTAAATAGGGTAATTCATATTAAAAATGTGTAATTAGAAAGATAAGAAATTTATACAAAGCAAACAGAGGGAATCTTAGTATAAATGTTAAATGGTGGATGGTTGAAGGGTCAAAATCAAAGTATTATCTTACAGAGTGATCCAAATAAAAGAAGTATATATAAAACTTTTATGCCTGGTTGCACCAATAGATCTTAAGCTCTACCTTAGCCAAGCTCTGCTTATAGCTAGGGCTGCCTTAACTCTCACTTACGTTGCACCATAATTTTCGATTCTAAAATATTCTTTATATTCTTAAAAATAAAAATACAAAATTTAGTTGATCGCCGAACCGTGACGGTTTGGTCGTGGTCGGTCGATCAGTCTGAGCTGAGGCCTACCTAAGGCACGTCTTAAGCTTAAGATAAACCGTCTCTCGCCGTCTTTACTACTTTATTTGTTGTCATTTTGTAACAAAAATGCTTTGAGAATATAACAAAAGTGTGCATGCAATGAAACACAAGTAGTTGTGGGTAAAGTAAAAGATAACATATAATTTTAAAGCTGGCTAGCAGAAGTTGTAGGAGAGTGACTACTTGACACTCAAAGGAGAATTCGGCCAATTTGCATGCCCTACAGAGACCGTAGAATAAGAAAGTGAATGACAAGGTTATAAAAAAACTATAGGAATATATCTAAGATAACTAAAAGTGATTATAGAAGTTGCTCCAAAATGTGAGTGGGCGCCAGGAAAGTATTTACATAAACTTTCCCAGGTATCTTGTAAAGCTATGTGCTGAAATAAAAAAAGGATATAGGTATGAATTGAAATAGTTAATTTTTACCAAAACTTTAATCCCTAGCCAAATATATACAATATAAATTTATCTTAAAATACCCACCACCAATTATGTACAGTCAACTTAATTATATACAAAAAATAAATGCCCTGGTTATACCCAACTGATCCTTGATGATCGAAATTTACAAATAATACAATACGGAAAAAAAATGGTAATGATTGACCTAATAAATAATTGTAACAAGCAATAAGGACACTATCCTGACGAGATAAATGTCCAAACGTTTAAATATATAATAATAATAAATTCCAAAAAAAAATAACTCTCTGATTAAATGTGTACACATAAAACCGTACAACCGAGTTATAAGGGAGTATTTCAAACTCAATCTGTAATTGGCAATTAGTTCTTAAACGTTATTTAAAATTAGTTTAAAAAAATTGACGGGTCTTTATTATTAGTCCAAGTATGAATATTTAAAGTTAAACAAAAAAAAAATGGTGTAAAAAATTATTAAAATTGAAAAACAAATCCAGTATATAAATATTATTAAAATTAAAAACAAAGCTTGATAAAATTGGCTGTGTTCCACACTCTAAGGCGGTCTTTCCAACTGGTTTCCTGAAGTTTTCCGGGAAGGCATATATGAGGTCTGTACCTCGGATGGAACAGCTTAGGGTGATGGCCAAGATGTACACCCAGTAGGGAACAAATCAATTTATATTCTTAAATAAATCCCAACCAAATTAAAAGGAGAAATTCTTGACTCTGGACTAACTTCGGAAGTAGGAAGTAGGCTAAAATAACATTTGTGTTAGCGTTCCTCCTTACTCTTAATAAAAAGAAGGAAAAAAACACAAGAAAAATACTATACTATTTGAAGGATGTGATAAAAAGTTATTGGGAATAAAAAACTTCAATGATTTTGTAAATAGTGTGATCTTTGCATGGTTTGACGAGATTTTAAGTAAACGGATTGATTAAATAGATAATTTTATAAACGAAAACGCATGCTTTGGATCTATTTTATAATATAAAAGTATGGTATAAGACAGAGTATTTTTATAGATATACTTAATAGATATATTTGTTTAAGGCCGGAAAGTAAAACAGAAATTGGATATATGATTTTATCTTATAAATTTCGATTCAGACGTAGAATATTTCTTAATGAAATTAGTTATGAAGAAAGTTCAGATAAATATATCGAATCAAATGAAGAGTGACGATACTATAGAATCTCAAAATGGCTGATGTTTTTTTATGTTTTCGTTTTATTAATAATTTGCTAGACTTACCGACAAAAGGGCGGCTAACTCAAATGAATAACACTAAAACCAACTAAAATTTCCTCATCTTCCAAAAAAAAAATACTTAAAACAAATTTAGCACAGCTCTTTGCCGCCTACTTCTTAGTTCAGAGGACTTCCTTTAGTTCGAGTTAAGATTAGATTGAGCGCTAATTACTAGCCGCATGGTCATGTCGCCTACAGCGCCATAGGTGTCGCTGTTTAATACCAACTTAAATTTTAAAATTCAGAAAATCATTAAGAGGATTGGGATTT